GCAAAGCTCTGGGTCGGACCTGATGCCAAACCAATAACCGTCTTAGAGGATAATGTTGGACACAATGTAGGCTCAGAAATGATGGGACCTAATGTAGGATCGATTTGACCATAATCGTTTCTACCCCATCCGTAAACAAATTGATCTTCCGTCAGAGCCAATATATGAGTAGTACCTACAGACAGGTCTTTAACTTTTCTATCTCTCAACGATTCGATGACTTTGGGATATCTGACGTGTTCCTCGCTGCCGTGGCCTAGGCGATATGCGTCACCTTTTCCCCACGTGTACACTTCTCCATGAGCTGTCAACGCCGCGGAGAACTGACTACCGCAAAACACTTTTACTACATTGATATCCAGTAGCTTATCGACGATCTTTGGCGTTTTGGATCCGTCCGTGCCTCCCCTACCTAGTTTCCCGTAATCACCGTCTCCCCAAGAGAAGACTATGCCGGACGCGGTCACGCACAAGGTTTGAGAGTCACCGCTACCGCAAGCCACGTGTACGACCGTGTGGCCCTTCAATGTTGTCACTAATGTCGGAGTCATGACATCGTCGAAATTACCATGGCCTAATCTACCATAATTTCCTCTTCCCCAGGTATACAATTCGCCGTTGGCACTTAATGCTGCTGAGTACGTACTACCGCATGCTATAAATATGATGTTCTTTTCTAGAAGTGCTTCAATCAATTTCGGTTCGTCATAGGAAATGGTATCACCGTGTCCAAGTCTACCGCCATCTCCATTGCCCCAGGAATACACACAGCCATCTTGCGTTAACGCTAAGTAATGTTTACCATCTGCGTGAGATGCAATCATCGTGATCGGCTTATCGGAAAAACCGTGCACTCTTTGCGGATATTGAGTTTCGGATCCGTGATACATATTGTAAACATTGCCATTCAACGACAAGATCATTAAAGCTCGTTCAGTGCAGCACAATTGCTTTATACCCAATTCCGCAATTGCATCACAGTAAAAGGGGGTAGAACCATTTCCAAACTTGACACCACCCCAAGCTAATACCTCTTGAAATGTTTGCTTGCCATTTCCATTCCTAGGAAATCCATACTCTGTACTAGCAGGTGGTAAAAGAGGAGCGGCCAATCTGCTTAAATTACACATTATAATAACTGCGGCTTTTCTTAAGTCGACTGATACGGCGTCGTCATCTGGCAATCGTAAATATTTAAGTAGCACTTCGCAGGGACCCGGCGTAACGTTTCTGTCAAGATGTCTGCGAGATTTTGTCGCTGGTATCATATTCAATCGTCGTAATAGTGGAACGAGCGGTGCTGTGCTTCCAGGTGGTGTAACTCGATTGTCTTGATTCTTATTTTTACCACTGAGATGGAGTAATAAAACCACGGAATCCAATAAACTAGAAAGAGTGGCTCTTTGCGCAACCAGTTCCAGTAACAAGCAAAGAGCCGTGTGCTGATCTGACAATGGCACTGGACGCCACGATCGTCCGGTAGTTACTTCTCTAAAAATAAATAACATATATGTCTATTGTATAAGAAATGTATATGAACTGATATAAAAGCAAGATGTATATACCCTGTGACGACTTGTCTTAAGAATTTCGCTGATCTTTCTACAACTTCCAACCAGACTTGAGAAACGTTACTCTCATCAAAGAGAGTCGCCTCCGGTAACGATTGCAACGCTTCCAATGATTCGGTCAATAATTCACTACAAAATTCAACGTCTTCCCCAGATCTCCAAGCCCGCCTTAAGTACGCGAACGAGAAATTGAGGGCCGCGCGTGAACCAACGCGCGCTAATCCTAAGGTCGCCTTTTCGTTAGGTCTCGGCCTGCGATTAACAAAAATTTAAGCATTTATAAGAATAATTTAAAGTGTTATTTCGAACAAAACACACAGAAAATAACGTACTCTGAAGAGGATCAACATATAATTGTATTTCGATACTCTGCATGTAATGTGTGCACGAGAAAACAAATCACTTAGGAAATTTGACCTGTGCTGTATGTAATAGGATTTGCAACATAAATATAACTTATTATAATCATACATGCTACATATACATAATTTTATACTCAACGTTTTTTGTAATTTTCCGATAGACTTTGGTAAATTTGAGGTATCTTTGATCTCTTGTGGTTTATGACGAGACAAAGCGGTGAAGTATCTTCGAGCGACTATCAAGCGTTGCCTCAAACGTGTAGCGGATAATGTGCTATTTGCGACTTCGCAACATAATTTCCGTTGCTCCTTAATCGATAAATCGATACATTCCTTCAAGTCTGTTAAAGCTGAGTAAACGTAATTAAATAGATATCAATAGAAATTTAGTAAAAAAATAAAAATAGTGTTTATTATTTGTGCATACAAGTATATATAAAAATATAATCAATTATTTGCAACACTGATATTTCATGTAAACAATAAAATTCAAATTATTGATAATAAATATAAAATACATATAAAATCCATAAATTAAGTAAAAACGTTTGCTTGTTGTATATTTTAACAGACAAAAAATAATTTAAATAAAAACTCAAATTAGAATTTAAGTAGTTTGAAACGAACAAAACATCATATAAATATATTTACATGGCTGGGGTCCCCAGACCCACGAGTCCATTATCCGCTTGGCAGACATAGACTTTTCGACTATCGCTGTTGTTCTTGCAGTTTCTTCCTCGTCCAGTTTCTGACATGGAGTACAATTACAGCCATGTTGTGGGCCACAAATTCCATCACAGCAAAGACAAGACAACACTCTCATACCACAATAATAATGACCATTTTCACCTGAAAAATATACACAAAAAAGTAATAAAGAATCTTAAAAAAAAAATTAATATTAATATACTGATAGAATTACTGTTTGTTTTCAACATCTTTTTAAATTTTTCTTATTGCCGAAAAAAAATAATGTATTTTTTGGAGACAGACATAAAAACTTAATATAGATTAAATCTATTCCTATATTCCTTTCATTATTTATTTCTTATATATTCTATTTACTTACCTTTCTTTGCTACGATTCCAGCAGCATTGACTAAACCATCACTGAAAGAACCAACAATTTCACCATCTCGTACCATCTCATTCCACAATTCAGCCAGTCCATCGCGATAAAGGAATCGTTGTAGATCAGTCTTCAACCACTTAGCGTCCAATCTTACTTCTGGCCTAACTGTTATATTTAATTGGCTGCTCATCTTGTTTACAATCTTATTCATAAAGACTTCCAATGTATAGCCAGATCCGTTAATATCATACAAATAGATCTTTTTTAGGAGATTCTGTTACAAATAATAGTATCATTTCCTTTGAAAATACTGTTTCCTTTTCTCGCCTCCAATCGCATGACGGTTGTTAATTTATTTCTCCGCGGATCAATAAATAGAAAATATTGTCGCAAGATTGATTAATTTTATTACCTTTTAGGTCCTTTTCTTTCTCTTTCTTTCTCTCTCTTTCTTTCTTTCTTTTTCTCTCTCTCTCTCTCTCTCTCTCTCTCTCTCAAATTCTTAAGCTTGAACTCAACGTTAATTAAAGGAAAAAAAAAGGCAAGACAACATTCCTTCGGACGAATTCTCGAGACTGTCAAACGACTGTTATTCTTGGGCGCAGAATTCGATTACGGGAGAAGGACGAGGTTAGCGATAGCGCACTTTGAGACGGCTCGTCCGAAGTTTCTACCTTCGCCGCCCGTTTCGTCCTCTAGTCCTCGTCTGTCACCATCTGTAAACATCCATCGCTGTCAGTTCACCAATCGTGATTAAAAACTCAACTGAGCACCGTGACATGACGATAACGTTATTTTGACGCGCACACATTCATGCATTCACAAACACACAAAAAGATTTTCATCTGTTCATCCCCGATCCGGATAGTCGATCGAAGGCTCGATTACCTACCGATTATTACGAAACTAGTGTCGCTAATATTCGCGCGATAGCGCGGTAATCGGGCGCGTTCAGCGTGCGACATGTTTACAATGTTTACATGCCGCTCGTCGTGGTCTATCTAATATTTCACACGTGTCAAAGAATACGTACGACCGCGAGATCTTCTTGTTTGCAAGATCTTCCACTTTTCCTGACAGTCCGGACCAGTCCGGACACTCCTCTATCCAAGATCAGCTGTTTTCCTTCAATCACGGTTCCCAATCTCATTTTGCGCTCGCCCCGCGATCACGTGACCACGTTGGCGCGAAAATAACGAGGCTTATAGCGAATTTAGTCACTTGCATTACACTTAGGCTGTATTCCAAAATTTACTGCCAGTTTTACTGAAAATCTATAGTTTATGTTATGTGCAGTATAAATTTTCAGTACTGACAGTAAATTTTGGAACACAGCCGTTGATTAATAGTGAATTTGAAATTTACGTTATACTAGATTAGTACATGCTAAAAACTGCTATGCTTGAAATTAGCAAAGTTAAATGTAAGAACGTAGAAATATTTTAAACAATAAATAATTATAATTATAATATATTTTAACAATATGATAACTTCTCAGTAAACGAAAACAGATTGAAATGAATTGAAATGGATTCAGATTTTCAGAAATATTAATTCACGAATGTTAAAATGAATGTTTTTCATCTGAATGCATTTTTATTCATTTATAGGAATTGCATGGAGCATATCTCTATGCCTTTCAATCTAAAAACAATATTAGCTTTTTTTGTGCAACACACAAACACATTGTGAATACTGCTCAATTCAAAATTTTGAATAAGAAATACAGTTTTTCAATTCAATTGCATCCAATTGAATCTAATTGAATTCAATTGAATCCAATTAAATTCAAAAAAAGTATTCGCTATTTAAAATACGCATTCGGATAGAAAAAAATTTCAATCCATTTTAATCCATTCTCGTAATTTCCCTGGGTAATTTCGTGTCAGTCATCGCGCAATAATCCGCATGTCGTGATAGGCAATTGCGGAATTATGTATTATAGCAGAGAGAAACCTGGTATCAGTACAAAATATTAATCATATTATTACAATGTTTTGTTGTAAGTTCAGAGAGTATAATATGATGCAAATAAAAGCTTTCTTGTCTGTCAGTTCTGCTAAATCTGCAAAAATTAGTTAATGTTTCATGTATATATAAAAAATAATCTGCTTATATAGCTGCTGCTGTGCACCAATTTATCTTTCTTCCTTTTCTCTCCAAGAGGAAAGAAGAGGAAGAAAGATGAACTGATGTAAAGTTCAGCCAAAAAGAACAGGCCTTTATTACGTTAATATAAAGCAATATGGCAGCTATCATGTAAAACACATGATTGGTGATTCCATATATCAGCTGTGCAAGTCAAAGAGTGACTGCCTTTCGTACACATTGCTTTCGATTAAAATTTTATAGGTTAAATTCTACATTGAATGTCACAAAATATTACGCTGTCCGAAGTGAAGGTACAAAATAAAATTCCACAGTGAGCGTCTAGCTACCAAATATATTTGAAATATGTTCAGTGGCATAAAATATTCGCTGAAATACAGTCCAAATAAATTTGGTAAGAAATTTATTCATGCCAATGATATTCCAATTTGAAAGAAAATTATTGCTATTAAATTGTAATAAATTTAATATTCTATCTATGATATATTAAAAAAAAATCAATATGAAGCTTTGATTAATTGTCGATGTAATTTTAGGTTGTCAATTACTGGCATGCTTCTCGACAAAAATAACACTTAAAAGTAATCTAACGAAGACAGAATGCACACGAGGTACTCACCCACATGCGTGTGGACAACCGACATCAACAACGCATCCGCACTTGATAAAGCCTGGCGAGGTACTACCAGGTATATCACTTCAGGAACTTAACAGAAGACGTTCCAAATTAGTAGAGTGTGTCACATTAATGACAAATGCCAAGAACGTACACAAACAACAAATAATTGTCATACCTGCGTCGTCCAAGGTTTACATGTCTGACAAGATACCATACGTCTTTCGGCAAAATACAGACTTTCTATACTTCTCCGGGTGTCAGGAGCCTGATAGTATTTTAGTTCTTACGTGTAGAGAAGATAAATCGTCTTATACTTTATTTGTGAGAACGAGAGATGAACATTCAGAATTATGGGATGGTCCAAGAACTGGCGTTGAAATGGCGACAGAAATGTTTGGCACAGATTACAGTCTGCCAGTTACAGAATTTGAACAATTCTTAGCAGCACTCATACAAGAAGACAAAGGCAGCATTATATGGTATGATCATACGGATGTTGTTCAACCGATTTTGCATAAGAAGCTGTGTCAATTAATTAAATTGACGGACAATCAAATATTTGCTTCTCCCAAGATTTTGTTTCATCAAATTCGCTTGATCAAGAGCGCCTGTGAAATCGATTTAATGCGGAACAGCTGCAGAATTGCCTCTGATGCTATTGTAAAAACAATCCAATCTTCAAAACCAGGGATGAGCGAGCATCAGTTATTCACTACTGTAGATTATGAATGTCGTATGCATGGGGCGGAATACTTGGCGTATCCTCCTGTCGTAGCTGCGGGCATATACAAAGCGGTGATTTAGTTTTGATGGATGCAGGTTTGTATTGAGATGTGTAGAATTATAGGTTCTTTTAGCTGAACTTCTTGCACCGTTCATCTTTTCTCTTTTTTTTTCCATAACATGGATTCAAGAAATTCAGCTGAAAAGAATGGATCTTTTGAATGGACCTTAGTACATAATCGAAACTTTCTTGTACTTCTATCCACTTACAGGTTGCGAGTATCACGGATATTCATCTGATATAACGCGGACGTGGCCAATTAGCGGCAAATTTACGCCGGAACAAAAAGTTCTTTATGAAATAGTACTCGATGTGCAAAAAAACTTGATAAAGAGCCTGAAGGAAATGCCATCGTTGGATAATGCATTCCGTCATATGTGTTTTCTTCTGGGAGAACGGTTGCAAGAAATTAACGTGATACCGAAGAATATAGAAGAAAGTAAATTATTAGCAGCTGCATATGCGTACTGTCCACATCATGTCAGTCATTATCTTGGAATGGATGTGCACGACACAGGAAAAATATCCAGAAGCGTAAGGATACAGCCTGGAATGATAATAACAATGGAACCTGGTATTTGAATGCTTTATATTTTTCTTAAAGACAAAGAACTATTTGTAAATTAAATAAATTAATTTATATTTTTTTTCATTACTTTAGGTGTGTACATAAATCCGAAGACTCCTTACGCACCGTCACACTTCCATGGTTTAGGTATACGTATAGAAGACGATATTTTAATAACAGAAAATGGTCCAGAAATCTTGACGAAAAACTGTCCAAAGGAGGTAGCGGAAATCGAAGCTCTAACAAGTTAAAAGTCAAGAAGTCAATTTAATACTCAGTGTACATAGTAAAACAATATGCTTCTATTTTTTATTTACATGTATATAAAAAAAGTATAAGTATATGCGTGTAAATACGCAGACAATTGCATTAATTGTATATGAAAATAAGGGAGTCTTCGCTTTCATATATAATCTAGATATATTTTTTATACGTATATAAAATGATTGGCTTTTTTATATTCTTCCAAATCCGACTTTCACTTGCTGTAACGTATTTATTTCGTAGATGAATATGTCGAAGAATAGCTTTGTATAACATGTTTATATACACATATATGTGCCTGTGTATTATAAAGTTATATATTGTTTTATTTAATAAAGATAATTCAAAATAATATAATTATATAATAGAGACTTTCAATACTTGGCACTTTTTTTATTTTAGATAACATACATTTTATAAATTCATACAAAGAAAATTTCTTATATTATTCGAAAATTTGTTTAAGTGGAAATAGACGAATATTACATACTTGAAACCAGTAAAGTATTACTAGAATCAATAACAGTAGAGTATATACGAAAAGAGTTAACGCGATCATTGGTACAAAAATATTCAGATCGTATCACAATCTATGGCACAATCACACTGTTATTTTAATGAGATAAGTATTTCGATCCACATGAGTGGGCAAATACGTATGAAGAAAAAAAAATCGCTTTCTACAAAACAACAGTAGCATTCAAAATGGATTAATACATTAAAATATGTGTAAACATGTATTTTTCACGATTCTTTTCACAACAGTTCTTTTCACGATTATATTATAAAGTATCCACGAGACTCTTGAAAAAGCAATGAATTGCTATTTATTGTTTCGTTAGCCGGACCACTGCTCACAACGTAATTCAATGTCGGCTTGTTTTAAATTTATGAAGTTGGAGAGTTGCTTCGCTCGCAAACGAGCCCAAACCAAGTGATTCTGCATCGCATGAATTTGCGCCGCCGCGAGTGCAGCTGCTTCTGGATGTATGACTGTCGTACAGCCAAGTCCTGTAAATATAATTTAACTTTATATTTCAGAAGACAAATTCAATTACTATGCAAATTATATAGAATACCTGAAGGAACATCAAGCGAGGACCATACGCTTCGTTCAATATTGTCCGATTTCAAAGGTGGGCAATTTATAACAGGCAAGACCGTATTGCCGGAGAGTACTGGACCCAAACCATTGCTGCGACCGGCTACCGCTATCAGTACCACCTACAAAAAAAGAAATAAGAAGCTTGTGATAAATGGAAATAAATAATCTTTTTATAGCTATCATTTTCTTTATCGTAACAAGTTTTGTGATTAAAACATAACAGGATAACGCAGATCGCTTCGACGGGTCAGTATAAAAGTTTTTGATACAGTCATCCTAGCACGTTTGATATCACAAATTAGTGACCAATGTTGTAATGATAAATATTACGATAAAATTGCACAATATTATGCTGCTGCAAATTGTTGCTATCATCAGCATTGTGTAATTAAAAAAGATATTTAAATGACTTGTATGTCTCTAGTAATATTTTTATGATTACCAATAATAATTATTAATCATATATAAGCATTTTCGTAATTTTGACAACGATTCAGCAAAAAGTAATATTCAACGAAAATCTACATTTCACCTAATCTATATTAAAAGTTTATTATAATGAGCTGTGAAAAGATGAAATTTCAAACTTACATTTTCTCCGCTGCTTTCATATTCAGCAAGAATATTTAGAGTTTCCTCAGTACCCTTATGAGCACTGCAGACTCGAAATTGAGGTTTTAGACCTAATGCTGTAGCATGCTTTGCAATTTCTCGGCAATGTCCCTTGTCGGATAGTGAGCCCATAAGTATAACAACTAATGGAGTGGATGCTTCAATAACATAATCCAACTGCTCTTCTACCCATTTAAAGTTACACTTTACGGTCTCCAAACTTTGTTGTGTTACATTGGATAGATCTCTGTATACCTAATAAACAGGTATAATAAAGTTTTGACAATTACAGCTATATAATTTTGACGAAAATATCTCAAACTATCAAGAAAAAATCTTACCTGCTTATCTTTCATCTGTTTCTTATCTCCAGAAGGCCAGAGTCTCCAGGAATCACTGTCGATAATATCAGCTAGCAAAATTTCTCCATCTGAATCCACACCGAATTCTATCTTCATATCTATCAGCGAACTATTACGTACTGTCCAAGCTCTCTCAAGAATCTCAAAAATGACAACAGTAGTGCGTTTCATAATATCTACTTCATCCTTCGTTATCTTTCTGCCGCCCAATTGGAAACCCGCGGAAATAATTTGCTCATCAGACCATTGTGGATCATGATTAGCATCATCCTTAAAGAACGTTTCCTGCAAAGGTGGATTGAATCTATAGCCCTCAGGTACCCCTGAAACAATTGTACATAAATATCGTGCATTCTAACATTTTCTTCTTAATTCTGTTAATTCCAAGAGAAAGATATTGATGTTCACATACATACCGGGATGTCTTTTTAGAAAACTACCAGTTGCCTGTCTTCTAGTAACCCATTCAATTGGTATCATGTCACATTTTTTTGCTATGAAAGACTTTGGACCGGCGGATTTGACATAAGCTGTCTTGATACCAGCTTGATTGAGCAACCCAAAGACCTTTATGGTAGTAGATGTGCTAATCGTCGCTTTGCCTTCTAATGCATGAGACTTTAAGCCGTCGCCAGCGGTAATGCGGTCCTTACTTTCCAGCAAACATAAGGTAGGATCATTTAGAAGTTCATAAACCTTCTTCGTCTTACCCTCGTTGATAACTTTTCCAAGTTTATAATCTATAAAAAATAGAAGAGAGAAAATTATCTTTTAATATTAATTGGTACGAAACAAATCTCTTTTTATTTTATAACAAATACAGAAAACAAGTCGATCTTTTCTCTCCTTTGAGTGAATGTTCCGAGATTGTATGTAAATGTATTATTTTCACCGATAGCCCCTTAATTAATTATACCATTCTTATACAAATGTCCATTGATTAATTTTTCAGATACATAGTTAAAATTAAGCTGTAATAATATTTGCTGTAAACTACATTAAGCACAGATATGTTAGAGCACTTGTATGAAACACCGGCCAGTGTACGAACAATGCATTATCGACCACCTGCAGCTCTGGCAAAACCTGTTTATTCCTTTATGTTTTCTTTCAGTAAGATTGCTTCGAATTATTCAGACATAAACATCACGAGATTCACGTCCATGATTAATATCACGTGTCCGAAAATCGTTATACTTGTCTATGCTTCTATTGAATATAAGTGGAAAAATTAATCAAATTAATGCTTCTAACGGACTTACTAGCCATCTTTGCAACTGCTCGTCTACTATTGGAATGAATGTAAGTCGCTTGATTTCACATACATTTCTTTAGCAGTCCCCAGTGTCCCCACTATGATCTTCGTCTGCCTGATTTCCGATTGGCTCAGAGCTTCTCTGTTACGACAACATGATATCAACAACGAAAAATCATACGAATAATATTTTTCTCATTGTACACATCGGAATAAGTTATTTCTCTTGCGTGTTATAACTCATATATTTTATCGAGTAGATTTACGAAACACATTCTAGAAAGTTCACTGTGGATTAATAGATAGTCGAGTCTTAGATTAATTATCACAATACTCCTCTCCATTGGAAGTATAAGATATATATAAATTAAATTATATATTGTAAATAATTATATTTTGTAATTGTATTATTAATAATTATAATTGTAATATTAATTACAATTATCTTTAATTGAAAGTTTTTACTTAACTTTTAATTAAATTTAATCATAAGTAATTACAAAATAATTAAAAAAAGACAAATAAACAGTGGAGCTCCAAAAATAAATCGAAAAGAAAAATAAATTACCAATGTGAACTGTCGCGTTATTAATGTTATTAATGTTTATAATTAATATAAAAATAAATCAATTTAGCTGTAAAATTCACAAACGTTTTGACTCTGAGTTTAAATCCTCTTCGGTACGTTTAAATAATTACGGAAAAGCAAACATAATATGGTTCGAATTCTCTTTCATAATGGTTAAATTGAACATCCAAATTAAAGATAATCAACGATGCAAGGTCAAAAGATAAAAAATGTTGACTGTCATTATGGATTAAGAATAAAAAATATCGTAGGAAAAGTTCGAACGTTAAGAATATGATGAACTCAAAGTAGATCTTTTAATATATTAATATTATGCACTGCATAATATTAATATATTAAAATAATCGCAGCGGCTCATAATTTGTTTTCTTTTAAATAATTTAAATAATTTTAATATAAATAATACAATTCTAAAAATAATTATAAACTATTTTTTTTATCCACAAGTTAGGAACGAGTATATATCGATAGTATATATTGCTACATCGTGTCAATTGTACTGATATAGAATTACGTAATAGAAATAATTCCATAATGGTCAAGTTCGATAAAACTGGACTGCGACATTTTCACTGACTAATCTTTCGAGAATATCAAAATCTCGTCGATTGCCACGAGAATAAAAGAGATCATTGAGGAGTTTTCCACTTTCGGAACTTTACAAAATTCAAACAAGATTACGTCGCAATTACACGTCCGTTCGAGGTCATGCTAATGTGTTACCAGCAATAAGAGGCGGCTAATTTCTATAATTACATGGCAAATGACGTAAACATCATTAACTTAAGGATGTATATATTACATCTCAAAACAAAAATTCATACAAAAATTTTAAATTATTTTATTATTATATATGATTAATTATAGGCATCAATAACTGCAACAGCTTATATTGACAATTTGTTTCTGTTTTGATTAATTTTTGGAGTTTTAATTACTGTTTATTTGTAATTTTAAATTATTTATATAATTACTTTTTAAAACTCAATTATGTCTAACACGTTATTAGTATATCCGTGTAAAATTTGGACACGATTCTCTTATTGGTTTAAAAGTTGTTTAATTTTGTTAGTCTTGATTCCGATGTAAATTCGCGTTTTGTAATAATTATTTGCAAATTGAGCAAGTCGTAGCATTACAAATTAAATCAATTTTTATATATACTAATAAAACTTTAATAAATTCATGCAAAAGTTTATTTGAATCTATCTATTTATTTAAAAATTATTTACTTACAACTGCAAAATATATATTTCGCTGCATAAAGCCATTATAAATCCCAAATTATTTGTTTTGTTTGTTACAATTGGTAATTTCAAAGCGTACAATCTCGGAGCGTATTTATGATAAAAATTTGTCAATTAATTTATAGCTGAAATTAGCATTTTTTTGCTGGGACTTAGCTAATATTGTACAGCTAATATCGCAACGTCTTTAAGTGCTCTATTCTTGATCGATCCTGCGTTTAACATGATCCATGCCAATTCTTCCGACGTCTGTCGTCATAAACGAGAGAAAGAAAGAGAAAGAAAGAGACAGAAAAAGAGAGAAAGAAAGAGATATTGTCTCTTTGAGAAACAGTCCATTCGTCTCTTGAATCGACGCGGCGTTGCACTCACATCCTCCCGCATCGTCCCTCTTCTTCGAGAAGGAAGAGATAATGGTCGCACCGATCAAGCGGAGCGAGCCCCTCCGGCAGGCAGTGGGCTTCCTCATTGGCTGTCACTAGATACCCCCCCGTCATTTCAATTTGTGGCTTGTGGTTCGAAATACGAAGCACACGTTTCATATGAACCAGACGTGTTCCCAAAGCGGGACGAGAAGTACGAGAACGTTTTCGGCGTCTCTGCACGCACACGGCACACGTGAGGTACGTGTATCGCTTCCTCATACGTCCGGACCTCCATCAGGATCTTCGCGAACCAAGCGTGATTTGCACATTACTTATTTGCGTCTGTTTTCATTATTCCATAACTCGAAAAGCCAAACAAGTAGTTTCCTTTCTGTGATCTTCGTGGAATCTTCATAAAGTGAGAACTCATAGATAAGAAAGAAAGCCAATCGTGTGTCCAATGTGCGATCCTTCGTCCGCAGCATCCGTCGCAAATTTGGCTGATCTATGCTCTTTAGTTCTCTTCATTACGTTATTTCGTGTCACGTGTTAATTCATTGAGATTGCACGAGTCTGATAATGTGAATTTATATCCAATATGAAAATAATGAGTTGATTTAATAAAAAACTTATTATTCTTTAAGATATATGAATTCTTTATATTTGTACACTAAGGAAAAAAAATTTAAACCTACTTTCACAACTCACGGTTAATTCTTAACCGAGGTTCAACGTATTTCTCATCTATTTTTAATTTTAGAATTGGAAAGAAGTAATAAATTGAACTTCGGTTAAGAATTAACTGTAGGTCTGTTCCTTTTAGCTAAAGGTCTTGCACAGTTCATCTTTTCTTTTTTTCTTTCCAACATAGAAAGAAAAAGAAGAAAGAAGATGAAGTTCAGCTAAAAAGAACAGGTCACATGAATTGTGAAACTGGGCCTTAGTGTCTTCAGCAAAATTGTTTTAGTAGAAATATTTTTTAAAAGCAACCAAATATTTTGTTTATATAACACAAATTTAGTTACTTTTGCAATAATTGTTTTGCTTTGTAAAAATAACAAAAATATTTATTTATACCAACTAAACAATAATAAATTAATTCGCATAATTTAATAGTTTTATTTGATATTTTTTACTAAAAAATTGTTTTAATTTTCAAAAATTTTAGTTCAAAGAACAAAACATTTTTTCTAGTGTAATTTGTCCTTGATAGATGACAAAGAAATTTACGCTTGATTTTTGTAATTTTTCAGTTTTATGAATAATGAAAATAATATTTTGTGTTTCGACGCTCAGGAAAAACGATCTCCATGGGTTATTATAGTCTGTCTTTTGTTATAGGTCTGCACTAGACTACATTGAAACTCTTTCTTGTTTTCACCAAACATATATACCTATTTCACTTTAAGTTCCAAAAGTGTATACTAGTTCAGCCATAGAAAAAACAGGTCTTATGTATTCGTTGCGTATAACTTCTTCTCAATATATAAGTCTTATTTTTTATCGGAGTAGCGCAAACTTTCAGAGCGAGGAATTAAGAGAAATATATGGGCAACTCGAACCGAACTTGAATTAACTTAATCATTAATTATTAATTAAGTATTTAATTCAAGTTATTAAGCAACGTCTGCATTTTATTTTCTAATTATGTTTTGTTAATACGCGAATAGAATTATTAAATTATTTACTAGAATTATGAAATTTTTGTTTATTGTATCGAAAATAAGATTAAGAACACAAGGAATTATATATTAGAGATTTTATTTTAAGCAATTCGAGTTAACTGCCGATTAAATTAATCGGGATTAAATTAATCGAAATCGTTCCGTACAAAAAATTATTGCGTTTGAACATTTTTTATTGCGTTCTGCGCTCTGTTCTGCTTGATTTCATATCTTCGCACATATCATTTTAAATTTGTCAACAGTTTCTTAACTGATTCATGATAAATATAAATATATTGACAGTAAAGTTGTGGATCTCATGTATATAATATAAAATATTTTTATGCATTTCGGTTTCGTATTTTTTAAAATTCTTTTATTCATATTCTTGCTTATTTTAGTTCAAATAAATCGACGCAACTGTAAATTCAATGATTAGCGATAGAAAAGCATTCTCTCTGACAGATGAATATATAATACATTTTAATTCAGTCTTGCCCTTAGTAATTTATTCGTAAGAAAAATCTATATTTCTCTTTCATGATTGGAAAACAAAACACTTATTATTGTAATCCCTATCAGTATTAATATCTTTAGAAATCTTAGATCGTAAGTTAATATATGTTATAATTTTTCCTTAAAATTATTACTTCAAATATTTATATTTCTTTAGATTTAGATAACATATAATAATAAAAGTATCATCCATTTGACTTGTTTCATCAAAATTAATATTTAAAATAATTCGATTTTTCTTTTCTAATAAATAAGTTACATGAGTTTATCTTTTATATTTGTTCTTGCGAGTTTTGTCTAGCTTTGAAAACCAATATCGAACTACAGAATAAGTAAATAAAAAAAAAATAAATAAAAAAGATAAATAAAAAAAAAGATAACATTACTTTCGTATCTATATGTAGTTTGTAACTGACACGGGAGAACTATCTTATTGCAGAAAAATATGATGCAATTTCTCGCGTGATGTGAAAGAATCGATTTGTTGTAAACAAATATAACTGTTCTATATTATGACATTTGTGATGTCAGTACGATGTAAAATGATGAAATCAGTTGCGAAATGCAGTTTGCGCAAATGTGAATGATGAGAAAACATAGTTGTAGCATTGAACAAACGTAAGATATGTGGATTCTATCAATCCGCTGGGGGTCAATAGTTTACAAGGGCAATGCAGATAATACAAAGAGGAATTACGAAAGGATCTACTCTCTTTTTAGGCACTTTAATAGGATATACAATTTATAATACATAATTTATATCTAATATATATCTACAAAACCTTTATAAAGCAAATATAATATATTAAGTTTCAATGGAAGAGTATATATTTAAATCTAGAGAAAAATTTAAATTTTATTACATTATAATTATTAAAACTTATTAATTGTACAATGTGAGAAACACATAATAATTCAATATTGATAAGAGCGTATTTATGATCATTTCATGTTTTTTATGACTTTTTAATCCAATCTATTTGTCTTAATTATCTTAATTACTACTGCTAAACTTAACATATTTTGTTTGTGACAGATCGCAATGGAAACATTTCACGATAAAGATAGCGAACATTGTGTTGAAGCAATGTCTCGTCTTTCCATGGAGGAATCAGAATGTACGAAACCACGAAGCAAAGGTGAAACCAGGGGACAAGGATCTACTGGTCTTACACACGAATGCGGTGTTTTCGGATGTATAGCTGCAGGGGACTGGCCATCACAAATTGATGTTGCTCAAGTTATTTGTTTAGGTAAGTTCACATTGTGTGTGATAGAAATTAACTGAAATAAAAACGTATATAAAAATGTATATACAATAAGAGAGAAAAAAATACGAAACAAAAGACGAAACAATATGTTATTTTCACTCAATCAGGTTTAGTGGCGTTGCAACATAGGGGACAAGAAAGCGCTGGAATCGTAACAAGTGAGGGTGTCTGCTCCAAGTCATTCCATGTTCATAAGGGTATGGGAATGATCAATAATATTTTCACCGACGAGATTATGAGAAAACTCAAAGGAAATCTTGGAATTGGTCATACCAGATACAGTACAAGTGCAGCCAGTGAAGAAGTCAATTGTCAGCCATTTGTTGTACACACTGCGCACGGAGCACTGGCAGTTGGACATAATGGAGAATTAGTCAATACAGAGTCTCTTCGAAAAATGGTAATACGAAAGAAAAATTTACGTTAACAATCCTTGTCGATCGAATCTGAATTCCGTTTTGAATGTGTTTACTCATATGTATGTTCAGGTATTAGGTCGAGGCGTTGGTTTATCAACGCATTCGGACTCGGAGCTTATAACACAAGCACTCTGTTTGAATCCGCCGGAAGGTGAAGTTAATGGACCAGATTGGCCTGCACGTATCAAACACCTTATGCAATTGGCACCGCTGTCATACTCCTTAGTCATAATGCAGAGGGACAAAATTTATGGCGTAAGAGATCCTTACGGAAATCGACCTCTTTGTTTAGGGAAAATTGTACCAATTGGCAATTTAGGTACAATGTATTGAAATATCAATAAAAGTGTATGTCTATTTTAATGATTCTTTAATACTAATGCAAAATAATAACATGAATCGCAGCAAGTAACGAGTCCGATGACGATGACGATGAAGCAGAAGGCTGGGTAATTTCGTCGGAATCTTGCGGATTCTTAAGTATCGGCGCAAGATATGTTCGCGAAGTATTTCCTGGCGAAATTGTGGAACTGACTAGAGAGGGTATTAAAACTATAGAGATAGTGGAAAGGCCAAATAAAAAACCACAGGCATTTTGTATTTTTGAATATGTCTACTTCGCTAGAAGCGACAGCATTTTTGAAGGTATGTAAATAAGAATGACAATATAGCGCAATAGAGAGATTGAGAGACATGTTTAATTATGTATCATTATTTGTAATATAGGTCAAATGGTATATTCCGTTCGTATGCAATGTGGACGAGTGCTAGCGATAGAATCCCCGGTTGAAGCAGATATAGTTAGTTCTGTACCAGAATCAGGAACTGCAGCGGCACACGGATATGCCAGACAAGTAAATGCAAATAAAATCAGCAGCATAATTGCCGCAAATATAAAAACGTGCAATTTATCTAAATAATACTTTTTTCTTTTAATGTTATAGTCTAAGATACCTTTCGCTGAAGTGCTGTGCAAAAACAGATACGTAGGTAGAACATTTATTCAACCCAGCACGCGACTGAGACAGCTCGGAGTTGCCAAGAAATTCGGAGCTTTGTCAGAGAATGTAAAAGGAAAAAAAATAGTTCTCATTGATGACTCTATCGTGCGGGGAAATACAATCGGCCCCATCATTAAATTGTTAAGGGATGCAGGCGCTAAGGAGGTAAGTTTTTTTAATATCTTTTCTATTTATATTTATTAGTATATTCATCATGTCACATTTATAGGTTCATATCAGAATAGCCTCGCCACCGCTGAAATATCCGTGTTACATGGGCATCAACATTCCAACGAGAGAAGAACTTATCGCGAATAAGCTTGACAGTGTAAAATTGGCCAAACACGTGGGAGCAGACAGTTTAACGTACCTTTCAGTCGAGGGGCTTGTCGAGGCGGTCAGATATCGCATGGACAATCGCGAAAGTAATTACATCGGTCACTGTACTGCCTGCCTAACGGGAGAGTATCCAGACGAATTACCTGGTGATCTCGACTGGTAAAGACGCATGATTTTTTTCTAAAATCAAACAAAACTCAGGTTTTTGAAATAAAATAACGAATACGTAGCATTCTGCAATGTACGATTTAACAAAGTGTTATATTATTTCTTCATTAATACACAGGTGTGAATTCGCACCATTTTTACAGCTATAAAATTAATTCTAAAATGAATACTTTAATGCTGTTATCTGCTTGTAAAAAAAATTGGGGTTATCACCGCAATTTTATGCACAAATACCTTTAGTATCCTTCAAATAGGCAATAAAATTATCCATTTTTAACATTGGATAAAAAATAAGTCTTGAGAAATTTGAAAAAATAATACATCTTAAAGTGAGTTTTAATAAATTTTTTACTAATATAATGTTTTTCGATATTACATCAAACAAAGTTCCTTGCCTTTTTTCTTTAAATTTTTGAAATTAATGAAAAAATTTGAAAAAACATCAAAAGCTTTATTATAAGCGGAGTTATGAACCGCCGAAGTTGCACAATGCAGATTCACATATGCTACATAAAGGTCACGGAAAATGTATGTAAACAAAAGAATTATTATAGAATAGATGTATTCGCGTATCTAAATATTACATAAAATATTAAATATAATGATCGAAAAGATTTTAGACAATGCGTTTGAATTTTTATAACAGATATATTATATAAAGTACGTAAATAAGGATGAATAAGATTATTTTCTATTTTTTATTAGGATTTTTAATAGAAAATGTCTGTACTTTTTGGATTCAATTCAGTATTTTTAACTACATATTATTTCATATGAAAAATGTGTATTACGTACAAAAAAAATTACAAATAAAATGATATGTGAAATGTTTTTTTTAGTTTATATTTTCTATGTTCAAAGTAAACATGTGTCAAATAATATTATTTCTTATAATTATATATGTATACTAAATATATATAAGATATATTTAAAATTGAATTGATTGTGAAATGTAAAAACAAAATTGAAAAATAAAACATTCTATTATTAAATTAAACAAAATTAGCGATGTAGCAAAAAATTAATATTTAATTTACATTCTTACATATAAGTAAAATTATAATTGCTTCTTCCAATGATAGTTCAATATTCAAAGCACTGATGTTACTGCACTAGTTTTATGTTATTAATATACTCATGCTAAGAACGTTAATCTCTCTAAATATTAAAATTTTTAATTAGAATTTTAAAAATTACATTTTACTTTCTCATGTTTCTTCTGATTTTTCTTTGGTTTTTTGTACGACGAGGTTTTCCTCATCAGACTCTGAATCCAATGCAATACCTTTGGATTTTTTCTCTTCTCTAATTTTCTGTTTTTCCAAGAATATGCTTAATTCTTCTAGTTTCTCATCACGTACTTTATTCCAGAACTGCATAGCTAAAACAAATTGCTTTCATGTTAAATAAAATGTATGCAGACTGAAAAAATTCGTTCTATTACCTTCCTCTTGATACTTTGGAGGCACACCAGCTTGTGCTAACATTTCTTCATTCGGAATACAACTTTCATGTTCGGCATCACCGAGGACCTCAACTCTTGGCTTTGTAAACACTCTCTGCATCTTAAGTAACTTTCTCGTTTTAGCAGAATATTTTAAAGTCGGCACTTTATCGAATACCTCATCGTCCACCTTTGGATTGTCATCTTTCTCAAAGAACATATAAGTGCCTACAGCGTCTTCATAAGTGCCCTCATAAAACTAAAAATATAAAACGATTAAAATTCATTTTTTAGTTGATTGTGGTTGAATTTAACTTGGTGATGAGAACTGGGAGGGCATGTAATAGAAATACTTCTATTTAAAACACGGTTTTTGCAATATAAGAGTATTTTATATTTTGTACTTCAGCAGAATAATATATGAAAGTATGTATATTTTAAAATCAAGAGATTGAAAGTTTTATCTATCTTGTAATTTAATAATAAAATTGATTGTCAATCTTAGTATTCAAAATACAAAATACTTTTATATGCTCCTATGAAATACAAAATATTTTCATGGGCTTTGTTGAAATACAAAACACAAAATATAATTGTCTTACAACTACTCTTTCTCAAATATAAGTATTTTAAAAATAAATAGATAAACAGGTTAAAATTAGAAGCCTGATATAGATAAATAATTTAAAATAATTTCTTATTACATAAATTAATAACAGAATGTTTCAACTTTACTTAGTCATCTCCAGTTGCTAATAATAAAAATATTTCAAATATATGTCCAGTTGGTCATAATGTAAAAATTATATTTTTCTAGCTATAGTTAATCGTTAAGCTAATGATTTTTTTTTAATAACTTTTAAAGTTACCGCAGCAAAACCATTGATTTATGTCTATTTCCACCAATGTAGATTGACTTTAATCTCGGTTCAACTTACTCTTTATCTTTTTCTAATCTTTAGAACGAAGAGGAAGTTGAACCAACATTAAAGTTAATCTACATTGGTGGAAATAGGCATTAGTGATTAATAAAGAAAAACAAAATTATCAAGTGAGGTTAGGTTTAGACCTAATCTCACTTAATAATTTTGTTTTTCTAGTTATTTGTTACCACTGATGTCTATGAACAGAATCATGAGTTGTTTAGCAACTAACTATTGATTAGTGAATTGACTCTCAGCTGCTTTCCTTCTCTCTCATCTTACATTACAATTCCTTATATTCCATATTAATTAAATATAAGCTCTTAATCAAACAAGAATCCTGTTTTTCCTTTCGGAGAAAACATAATATATTATTAATTACTAAACTAATGGTTTTGTCTAAACTAGATAATGAAAAACTAGATCTAAACAGGAAATAAATATGAGTACATTCAGGATGCGTTTATAACAATATTATTGTGCATTTAACATGTAATTGACATTACATATATTACAGAATTTTAGAAACAAAAGTGCGTATTTATTAATAAAAGCGCATTCTAAAAACAAGCTACAAAGTTTAAATATGATTTATACTTCGTTTTTCACTTATTAAATTCTACAAATAGTAAAATACAGCATACCCGTCCATTAATTTCCATTATAGGATGTTCAGTATCTATTCCAATCATATCCAATTGAAGATCTTTATTATTGAACATTTCGTTACCGGTAAGCCCCTCAAATTCTACATATACGAGCATTTCTTCTTCATTTTCAGATAACTCACCATCCGACTCCATCTTTCTTATGAGTTGTTATGAATTATTATTTGTTATTATTTAAATTCACAAATACATTTCAGGCAATGACATCTAACATATCTAGATTACATTCCACTTGACGGCCTTGAAATTTAAAGCTTAAAGGTACATTTTCACGAGCTGCTCTAATTGGTCGTTTCAGCATAATATTCTAACCTTAACGCGTTTCTAATCTAATGTGTACATACATAAACACGTTGTGTTTAATTGTACCGAAAATAATTATTAAAAATGAGGTATGCAATCCCATTTTGTAATAATTCGATAACAAGGCTATGTAATGAATGCATTTCCTCGAAATAGCAAACATCGTGCTCTATGTGTCAAAATGTTAGCGAAAGGTATTGGGGAAATGGCATGAAAAATTGGACGCCTGCAAAAAAATTCTTATCTCTGTGAAGTGAAGCATTATTTATTATAAATTTATTATTAAAAAATTAATATTTGACATTTAAAATAAACGTTGACATAAAAAGGCATCTTTAAACATGTACGTAGTATTTTGTTTTGTATGGCGTACGCAGTATTTTGTCCAGTATATAATCTGCGCTGATTCGCGGATGTTAAACATAAACGTAGTGACGACGATGACGTGTTCATAGCGTATACCACGTGTAGGACATACATTTGACACGTCGCCTGCTACTCTGCGTTGTGCCACCAGCCTGCGTTCGAATCGCTTGACGAGTAGTACGTTAGTATATATTTTGATGCCACGTTGCTGTTGATTCTCGCACAAAGAGGTGATCAGAAGAAGAAAGAAGCAAACGAGTTGTCTTCCGAGTGTCCCGTTCATGCGTCTCAACTTGTAAATAATAATCTGTATTTTACGAAAGCACTGTTTCTACAACGCAAGCACCGTTGAAGTATTTCGAGCGCGAGTGGAATTTTTGAACGAATCTCTCAGTATCCTTTTGGATTGTCGATAAGAATAGTTTGATCATGGTGAGTATAATTAATTTGAATAATAATTTTGGAATTTCTAACGAAGATTGACACGTGTTCTTATTTCTTGGAAAAAGCCTGCTGCACCTAGCGCTACTTCCGTGGGATCTGTTGGACGATCGCCCAGCAAAGCCATAGCGCCAAGAACAGGTGGTAGTGGTACAGTAAGACAGAGGAAAACCACCGTAACCTCCTCCGCCAGGAACAGGAATACCGGTACAAGCTCTGGTGGCATGTGGAGGTTCTACACCGACGACTCTCCTGGCATCAAAGTGTAAGTATAGATCAGCTGATTAAGAGCCAACGTAAGTCAATGTAATGCTATTGATACTTTGATTGGTCACTTAGTAAAATTTGTTTTAAATTAATAAATTAAACGCTTCAAAGTATTTATCTGTTATACTATCATTTGCTATAATACTGATAATTCTCTATTACAATATTAATTTGCCTTCACATGATATGTCTTAAGTAGTGTTTTAATAAATATTGAAATTGTTTTGTTGTAGGGGACCAGTGCCAGTGCTAGTAATGTCCCTTTTATTCATTGCGTCTGTATTCATGCTTCATATCTGGGGCAAGTACACTAGAAATTAGATATAAGTGCAATGTTAAGATTGGCCTGGGAGAGAGATATGAAGCACTGAGCGATGCAAATTTCAGCATCGTGCAATCATATATTGACGCCTCGAACAGGTTAATGCGTGATTTTTAAAATGTATGATACGTTATGGATAATATATCATTGAAAGGAAACACTCACAAAACACATTATGATACGGTGGACATCGTTACAGGATCAAAATACATTCATATTTTTTATGCCTCGATAGAAAAGGATCCGTTTTTTTAAAACGATTTATCGATTACATGTATTGTGAGAAAACATGAGAGGAATTATTTAGTTTGCGTTTGTAATATTAGGAATGAAACATTATGTAATATTGAAATAAATGTAATTTATTTTTACCCTGATATGTGGTTGATATTATACAAGTCAATTTATGTAAGTGTAAATGAACTGTGAATTATGGGTTCCCGAAATCGGCTACCATTTATTACATATTTCTTTACATTTGTAACTTTTGACAATTTTATGAAATTGAGGATTTTGGGAGTAGGATCGAATTTAGGATCCGCCAATTGCGAATAAATCGCTTTTACTGAATCACGTATTAACTTCGCAAGCAGTTTATTTACATTCTTATATTTATCTTATCCTATGAAAATATTTATTTCAATCAAAGAGCTTAATGTATATTTGTTTTAAAGAATGTGTTAGAAAGTTTTTAAATTAGAAGAATCAAATTTAGATTGATTAGACTTAATCTTCTTAAGTTTTTGTGGAATCTTATATTTGACATTTGACAAAAATAAAAAATCTAAATCGTATAAGTAATCCACATTGCGAAATAATGTTTAGTAAATTTTTTATTTAATAATTTACATGTAGTAAAATTATAGGCTGCTGTTAATAGACATATTTTGCACAATGTAGATGCATATATGAAATAAAAAGAACATAATATTTATAATTCATAATAATTCTTGTTAAAACATGTATTTCAAGTATTATTATAATAGTAAGACGTTTTTTTATTGTAATAATATATAATCATGGTTCAGTTTATTTAAAGATTTTCTCTGCAAGCGTGCGATCAAGATGTTCTTGCGTTCGTGACGTTGCGAGGGTTTCTGCATATTTCCGTTTCCAAGCGTTTTCCGCGAGGCGCCGGCGCATCCAATATTGATTCTTTCGAGGCACTGAATTACACGCGACACGTTCGAATTGGACAAGAACGAGATAATCGCAATAAATAAAATTTATACAAAACGTGTATCATTAGAATAAATAGAGATCGAGAAAAAAATTACAAAAGAATAACATAGAAGATAGAAAAAAATAGAGATAAGAGTAGTGAAGGAAAAATAAGGGAGAGGAAAGAGAAATTTTTCACTACTCTTATCTTTATTTTAGAGAGATAAAAATGACTGAAAAATATATTAGGTGTTGGAATTAATTCGTAGCGTTTTACAAGTGATGGGAAGTACTTTCATTAATGTATTTTTTAATGCTAGTGTGAAATAAATAACATTCTTTCATTAAAAAAACGCTACGAATTAATTCCAACACCTAATACATATATTATTAAAAAAATAGACGCGATTAATACATGAAATAATTATGGAATCTAAGATATGGAGAACAAAAAAAGAAAACAGGGAATTAGGAAAGGGAGTGGACTACGAGATAAAAAGAATCGTAAAAATAAACGAAATGCTAGAGAAATATATTATATATAGGATTCGAGAAAAAACCAAGATCAATGGCAAAATCTTTTTAGAATACTCTTCGACGTTCTACAATTTTTATTTACTTTAATAACAAGAAATCTGTGTGAAAAATAATTATGTACAGATCTTGTGATTTCATAAGTAATTGTAAAAAATCTTAGAGAAAGAAACTGAAAAATTTTTTTAGAAAAATACATGAGCGCGAATAAAATGTAATTGATTCAAACAATTAAAGAGCACGATCCGTCCTTCTAAAATCGACGCACGGAGGGGAATTGAATTGAGGTACGCCGAAGTCGTGGTTCGTCTGACGTAGATCAGTAGATGTCCCTGAAAATGAACCGGGGACGGGTCCGCTCACCGCTGTGGTCTCTCGGCGGAGAGGCACGTTCCAGAAGCGTGCGCGTTGGAGGCGCCGGGACTGCCGGGAGAAACGCGCATCGCGCTCCAGAGGCGTCGCGTCGGCGTCGGGAGGAAGGGAGCGGAGCGGTATGAGGGTGCTGTGCCACCGCGGAGGTGATTCTCGTCCGTTCTCCGGCCACCCGACAGGGGAGGCGGCGAGGGGGCGGACACGCGCATCTCGATTCTCGCGCTCCTCCGCCGTTGATGGGCCGCGCGAGGGCTCGCGAGCGTCGCCGACCCGCGGCGGACTCACATCACACACGTGATACCGTCGTGCGGGAGTGCGCGCCTCGTTTTAGTCACGGCGACATCGGACTTCTTCTTCTTCTTGTCTACCCAGCGAAACGGCGTCGGGGCGGGACGCACAGTACCGTTGGAAAACTACCGCGAGAAATGCAGTTCTCCATGGGAGAGGTAATTTCTTTTCTCTCTCCTCTCCCTCTTTTTCTTTCTCTTTCTCTCTCCCTCTCGCCGCTTTGGAAAAATTGGGAAATCCGCAACATCGATAACGTTGTCATTCCGCAACACAGTGACAGCGTTATTTATATATTTAAAGACGGAGACGTTCAACATCGTTTTATTTAACATCTCGCTCGATAATGGATAGAACCATGCATGCACGCTAGATTATTTTGCAGAAAGAGAGAGGGAGGGAGGGAGCTTCGAAGGTAATTCTAAATTCATAAGCTGCACGCGCTGGAACGTTCTCAAATTATTCAAAATATTGCTGCCAAGAACGCGCACAGTGTTCCTTATGTCATAAATTTCTTAGCGAATTTCCTTGGAAATGGCTCTGTGACTTAGTTACGGCACATCTTCGACGCACCGTGTTTTCCGCATTGCGGAAATCGTAATATAACTACATACGTCGACGTATATGAGCAGTTTGTTTATCTAGAACATATAACTTGTTAATTTGCCAGGACATAAGATCCGGTATCGACCGTCTTTTTTTCGTTCCAATGCTGATTTTTTAAGATAACAATTAAAAATCACACGAAATTTAGAAAATTAAAGACGCATTTTAATTCATATTAAATAGTAGCTGCTTTTTCTTCCTTCATTTTTTATTTAATCCAAATTGATGATTCTGAATTCTTTTATATTATTATTAGGTGTTGGAATTAATTCGTAGCGTTTTACAAGTGTGTATTTGTAAGAAGGATAATTAAATTAATTTTGAATTCATGTGAAGAGATTTAATTACCTGCTATCTTAAAGATTAAAAATTTTGCAAATTTTATTTTCTTTTAAGAGTAATTGTATCATTTAATACTACTATATAATATAGTTATCATTAATATTTTTCGTTTAATATTCGAAATATAAACTATAACTAAAAATTCTCTTTATTTAATTTGCTTGGCATTTTCTTCTGTCAAATAATGATTGTTGATTCTGAAAGAACGATTCTCATTAGATATATATAGAAAAACTCTAAGTATTCCATACAGTATAGACCTCCAAGGGACGTCCTAAAGACGTCTGAAGAACGTCCTACGAATGCGTTTCCAAGATATTTCTCGGCTGTACGTACTATATTAAAGTGTTTAATTTTAAATTAAAATTAAAGGACTAAATAATGATCCTTTGTTATATCGACGCGGATAAAATCGCGTTTCAGAATCCAAGGTAATTTATTCGGAGATCGGAGACGATTAACGTCGAGGACATGGCGGTCGACATTTTGGACGAGGATCATCTCGCCGTGAGCGCGATTGTGACCGTCGGCATGCAGCTGATCTTCTTTACGATCGCGGCCACTTTCCAGATGGACAAGCTGACGGACTTTGCCGGTGGCACCAACTTCATCATCCTCGCTCTCCTCACTTTCTTTCTCGGTCAAGTGGGCAAGGTACTGTCTGACACGCTACCTTGGCATCTCCTCTGGTGCACATGTGAGGGAGAATTTTATACTTGATACAGATAAAGCCTAAATATTAACTCTTAAACCTTAGACTTTTATATCATTCATGTCCTGCACATTTTTTTTCTTTGAAATATTAGGAACATCATTTAGTTATAACATACATTTATATATATATATATATATACAATTTTTTTTAATTCACAATCCTTACTCTCTAAATTCTTTGGTATCTCGTTAAAGATCAAAGAAAATTGAGACAATCTTGAAAAAGAGTAGCAAGAGTTCAATTTTCAGTCTTTAAGAATGAGAAAGATTTCATTTTAACGTACTTGTTAATTAATTGTAATTTTCTATTTAACAATACACCTGTTATTACAGTTATATATTGTGAGTAAGAAATTACAACTAATAAATACATTACATGCAATTTTGTAAAGATTCACTCTAAAAGTTTTGGAGAGTTTTCTAAAGATATTAAACCATATGTAAGAATTACTTATTAATTTTTATGTATTTGTAAAAGAGATGAAAATTAATCCAGAACGATCCAATTGTATGTAGTGTAGAAGGCTAGAAAATGATCGTGTGTACTAAAGATTAAAATACATTACAAGTTTATCGGGAAAGAACCGACTAAGATAGATTTGTAAAAGTTTTAATAGACACGAAAATAGATAGGGAAATCACAAATTAGATATTTTAGAAGATATTTTTTCGTCTATTATCAATTCCTTTTAATGACTATTAATGCTACTAATTATTATTATTACTTGATTATAAATTTTATTAAAATCACTTAATTTTTATCGCAACTGTAAATAATCTTCAGTAATGATTGCACTCTTACGGACCAGATTTGCAAATCATTATTTTAGATTGATTTTCTTTCTTGAAGTTCGAATGCGAGATTCACGCGACATATTGCCACTGTATTTTATCATCGATAATTTTATCCTCAATGAAACCGTTGCTATAAATAAAACGTCAAGATATAATTAATATCTATTAACGATTTATGCCTGTCTATAAACTTTTTTTTTATGACGCTTATTTTATATTATTAGTCGTTACAAGTATCGGTGTAAATAACTACGTGCCTTTCTTCCCCATGTAGACGTACGACAGTCGGCAGATGATGGTGACCATATTCGTATGCTTATGGGGCGTGCGGCTCTCCGGATACCTCCTATACAGAATCGTCAAAATAGGTCGTGATAAGAGATTTGACGATCGTCGCAGTAACGTGATTCGCTTCGCCGTATTCTGGACATTTCAGGTAAAGTACAGAATGCGACGTCTCTCCTTTACTTTTTCTAGGATGTGATATATCGAAGAGATTTGTTGATTCGCAGGCTGTGTGGGTATACGTCGTCAGTCTGCCTGTGATAATAATCAATTCTCCACGACACAAAATACCGCCCGCGCCAAAGACGATGACGACGCTCGACAGTGCCGGCACGGGCCTCTTCTTGGTTGGCTTGCTAGCTGAGACCTACGCCGATCTGCAAAAGTTCACCTTCAAGCAAGATCCGGTGAACAATGGGAAGTGGTGTAACGACGGTGAGATTACCCTTTGATTTTCCAGTAAACACTAATTAACAGCAATATACTCTTTAACTTTTAGATCTCACTCTAAAAGAGTGAAATCTCACTTTTAAATATAGATCCTTTTCAAGACAGGTTCAATTTTTACTCTTCAGAGTGAGATTCTACTTCAAAGAATTTAGAAAGTAACATCAATGTATTATAATTTTATTCAACAATGTAAATGCGATATAATACATGTATATAACAGTTACATTCTCGAATGTGAAATTATAACATTATGTTACTTTTAGTCGGTGAGTTACACATTCGAAAATACTTTCGCGGAGTTCCATTAAATTTTTTGTACTACTAATAAAATTTTACAGAGCATCGTCTGTAAGTTCTCATCAATAAGACAAGTGTTATAAAAACGTTCGTCAATCTAATTCTCATAAATAAATATGTATATGTAATTAGGAGTTATATGTTGCTTTTTATTTAAGAATTTATTTCATTGAAATCATTTTTCGATTGCAATGAAATAAATTTGCATTTACAAGTCAATATTTTTAGGACTTTGGAGGCTCTCCCGGCATCCAAATTATTTCGGCGAGATTGTCGTTTGGTGGGGGATATTCGTAATATCCCTAAACGTCATCGAAGGAGCAGAATGGGTTGTTATTGCATCCCCGATCTTCACGACGCTTATTATTCTATTTCTATCAGGGATGCCATTATTGGAAAAAGCATCGGATGAAAGATACAGGGAGTAAGTATCGCAAAAGGGCATTGAGAATTTTCGCAAATCTAAAAAAAAAAATAATATTCAAAGACTTAAATATAAAATTTAGAAAATGTGTCTTATATATATTAAAAGTAATAAGTGTACAATTTAATTCTCGACCCATACATTTAGTCGATACTATAGCATACTATAGCACCTGTTAAAATTTAAATATTTTTCCACCGTATAGTCGTTTTAAAACGCCAAAGTGTCAAAGACCAGTCGAGATACTGTTAATATGGATTGTATTTGAATTGAAGGTGACAGTATGCGGGGCGTTTTTCACCGCATACTCACTCTCTAGGGTGAAAAGTTGACGTAAAAGGGCCAAGAATTAAGCTGTACACCTAAATTAACTTATTACAGAAAGATGGAGTCTCAACTCTTAGATGGAGTAAATAGAAGAGTATAATAATTTAAAGTCAGATTAAAAAAATTATTTTTGTTTTACAGTTCGTGAGAAAACAATATTAATAGATAAAATGATTTGTTTTTTTATTGTATAAATTCATATGAATTTCGATTTACTCATGTTCTGTAAATATTTTTAGTAACGCGGAGTATCGCTACTACAAGCGATCGACGTCACCGTTGATACCAATACCGCCGTCTATCTACGTTGAGGTGCCACATTTCCTCAAGTTTATATTCTGCTGCGAATTTCCACTTTACGATTCCCTGGATGTGAAGCCGAGATCGGCCGTCACCGAATCAACATCTATCAGCCTCGCAGCGTCCACGTAGCTGTAACCACACGCCGGACGTCCGAATTCCGAGTCCGGCGTGCAGTCGACAGCAACAGCTTCAACCAGTACAGCCCTCTGAGCGCTACTTTATCTTTCTCTGCGGCATCGAGAATCCCGTCTACCTACTGACAAAAATATAAACTCGACGGCCGAACCGTAAATCCCAGTCCAACAACACTCTATCAAGCACGATATCGGCACGATCTCGAGGAGTTAGACTGTACTTGGTCATGCACATCAATTTCGGTATGTGGGAACTGAGAAGGAATCCCTTTTCAAAATGGAAAGGCTTATAAAAGATGAAGTATTATTATTTTTGTAACTAAAAGCCTTTCCCGGCGTTAGGCATAAATGTTACAGGTGACTTTTCGTATAGAATCGAATGATGAGATGAACAAAGAAAATTATTTTTGTAGCGATGTTATATGGGTACCAATGTAAAAGTAGCTTAACGACCAATTCGAGCATCGTTTCTGTACGACAAGTCGACGGTAATCAATGACTCGATTAGCGGCTTTATTTATGTACGTGCTTAAACTCTTATTTTAGATACAAGAAGATTAGATAAAACAAGAAAGATTGGAAATAATATATAATTTGTATGTTCCAAATAATATCCAAGCTTAAAAAGAAAATCTCTTAAAAAGCGTCACTATATTCAATTAGTCAATCGCTACTTAAAATCGCTACTTTAAATGAATAATATTATATGTTGTTCCAAGAGAGTAGTTCTTGGAAATAAATTAGGCAGGCGGTTTATCGCGCTCGCTATCAACTAACAAAAAGTATGTGTCTTAAATATCGCAGAAACAAAATTTAAAACGAGATTTTAATGTAATATAAATAAGACGATGTAGCCCATTTTTGAAACTAATAGTAACTTTGAAAATTGATGGTCTGTAATAGTTGGCGATTGATACTGTCGATTCGTAAAAGTAAAATAATTAGCAGAAACGCATATCGAGGAAAAACGGAACATGTGTGTTCCAATTTTCGTAACTCGGCAACGAATAAGCAATATTTATCGCCAGAGTCCAATGAACGTAACAAAACAGTCAAGTTTACATTTCATCTATCACAATCGCTATTCATTTCATTAGTATATTCATAGGATGCTTACAAAGAAATTTTAGATGCAATGCGAACGTGGTACATACGTCCACGTATCCCGATTGCAATTCCGAGGCTTTCGATCGAATTATTGAATCATAGCAATATTAAACATATCTCCGTGCCGATAGAGCGTCCCCAGAATACGAAGTATAAAACAAATTCCGAAGGAAATTTATAAAACATATGTAGCGATAATTCAAATTAATGACGCGCATGAAACGAATTCCTCGTGAATAAATGATTCAAATATTACTTCCCAATACTTCACTGTTACGTACGTCTTCGAAGTTTAGATAATAAATAATTACTGATCCTAAATTGTGGAATTGTTAGTTAACTACCTTGCCCTCTTAATTATATTATATGATCTCATAAAAAATGCATATTATAATATCTTTTAAATAAGATTTGAAGAGATTCGGAGAGCAAATCGCAATAAACGTCGAGAGATTCCGTAAAGTTCGCTTCATATTTATAAACACATTTTATTTGTTCGTATGTATATCATTAATAAATGGTGATATAATAATGACAATGAAATGTATGTACGCCGAGCATAAAACGAGCAGTCATATTATAATAATTATTAATATATTCTTCTTATAATAATCTTACTGTATTGAGTGGGCCTACCTACGGTGCTTGCAACGTTATGGTCTCTCTTGTCCAAATGTTTCTTCCATTCTCTAATTTATATTATTTACTCGCACGTAATAATCCATAATAATATGTAACCACAGGTGAAAACATATGCGCCGTCCTAAGTATAAACAGCATCATCCACTAATCTTTTTTTTCCATTTTTCCTTTACGTGATTATATATACGTATACATACATACATACATACACATATATATATATATATATATATATATATTTAATCACGTATATATATAATTGTTATCAATAATATAGTAAGCTACTTAAATGTAATATATCTCGTGTCTTCTCGTGGAATATGTTCAGCTGCCGTAGAAAAACTACGCAGCGTTCGTAGAAAAAACTTCAATTCCCGTTATACATCAAATTGTCGATTTTCGATGCGTGAAAGACACTTTGTATTACGCAAGGTAATTTTTTTTTCCTTAACACGTCCGAAAAATCGTATATCAATACATGGGCAGCACAGCGTTTTGAGTACCAAAGAAAAAGAGATCAAAACATTACCTGTGCCTCTTCGCTAAAAGAAAGTAAAAAGAAAATAAAAAAATCGAGGACTTGGAGGGAGCAAGGAATGGTGGATAAGGGGACGAAATATTACGACTCTGCTATACACGAATGGCATCTTCCTTGCGTATCTAAGTCCGACTGCATTCGCGCGCGTCTACGTTTAATACATATACTATAATATACAAATAATAGATAATAATATGTGCCGTCCATCGCTTATCGTGGTTCCTTACTTCCATTCATCTAAAAAGTGATAAGAAAGGACTATGAAAATATCATATAGTCCGTACGAAATATAGGAATGAGAGTCGTCAATTAAAATAAAAGTTGATTGCACGCGCTTTGAGATGACGATGAAATGCAAACCGGATTTGCGGCCGGGTGCAACTACATTTGCATTCCACATTAGGCTGTCTGAGGACGTCCGTTGCTAGCTGGTCAATTGGCGTGACTCGACTCTCGATTCGATTGTTAAAAGAACGCACGCGCGCGCGCGCGTGAGAGAGAGAGAGAGAGAGATAGAAGTAATTCAGTCAATCAATGACCTAACATTTGTTTCCGTAGGACATCGGATTCCCTTTCTCCTATCATTATTATGGTTAGTATTAATATTATTGTTGTCACATTCTTATTAACATTATCGTTACGTTAACATTAGCGTTATTATTAGCGTTATCGTAATGAAAATCTCGGATCGCGTCGATGAACCGGCTACTAGACGCAACGGTGTTTCCTCAGATGATTTTTCGATAGAAATCTCTCAATGATACGCATCGTAAAAAAATCTCGTACAAAATCTTTTTAGAAACTTTATTTAACACGATATAAAAAGCAAAGTAAAACGCGCGATACACGTGTGAACGTATCATAAAAAAGAAAATTAACGTGAACTAAAGAGAAGATTACGTTACGTTGCGTCAGGACGCAAGGTAACTTATACACAGCAAGGATCATTGAGGGAAGCGAAGTAGGAGACGCTTATTTTCGCCTTAAAAGGCAAGGATCAGTATGCCCGTTCATGCGACCCTATCCTCGCTTCTTCTTCTCTTCCTCTTCTCCCGTAACTACTTCTATCTTATAGCGTAACGCTATATTGCATTTGGCCACTGTCGACAAAGACCCCAGCTGCGTCAGACTATTGCAGTTCGTATATTGCAATCCTACGTTTCTAATGACTTATAAGATAGCCCTGTTTTTTTTTCGTTTGTTCTTAGCAGAGCAGAGAAAGGGCGTGTGGATTAGAGAATAATCGTTCCGGTCGTGTGTGTTTCGAGTGTCTCAAGTGAAGTAACGCGTGATGCGCATTGAACGTATATAAACGAAGTATTAACATTATACATGAGTCTATTAATATCTATACGTATAAGTAGAGAGCTCTAGTTCCAAATCTTATCTCTCTTTTTTGCTTTCTCTTACACACACGCACACTCACACTCGTTTTCTTTCCCTCTCTCTCTTTCTCTCCCTCTTTCTTTCTCCCTTTCTCTTCAACACACAATCTCTCACTTCCGGCAACTCCCTTCCCTCGTCATCATTCTATACGTGCTTTCTACATCGTCCTCATCTCCGTCATCGTTCACATTCACGCAACCACACACACGCGCGTACGCACACACACTTTTATCACCAACTATCCCTCTCTCTCTCTTTCTATCTTTATTCATTCGCCAATACACCTTCATGACTCTTCGCCTTTAAATCCTTGAAACGACTTATTACTTCTCTTTACAATGAAAGACCGCTTATTTGCCGTCCTTCTCTTTTTCTTTGTTCTCGTCAACTTCCTTGTCCTTCTCAACTTCCTTCTCCTCCTTGTCTGCCTTTTCCTTGTCACCCTCTTTCTCCTCCTTGGATTCTTTAGACTCCTTCGCCTCCTCTTTGCCCTCCTTCTCCTCCTGTTTCTCGGGCTTCGGTAGATGCGTGTTCATGTCCAGGCTGGAGCATATCTCGTCCCAATCCGGGAAACATCGTTCTTTAACGCGCGAGCAATGTCCGACCAAGTTGGGACAGTTCTCGACCATGTAGTCTCGCAGACTGTACGGCGTGTCCTTGTCGATGTACAGGATTTGAGCGAGATGCGCAAATGCAACTACGTCCATCTGTACAAATCCAAAAGATCGCCAAAGGATTATACAGATTGCTAAAATTGTAACCCATAATCTATATTTTCTATCAATCTTTTACATTGAACATAATTTTTTACGAATCTTTGCGAATCAACGTAATATTAAGATAAGTGAGATCAAGAGTGATATATTTTTATCTATTTGTTCTTTCCTGAAGTTCTCTTTACTAAAACTAATTAATTTTTAATCGATTGAAATTCGAAAACCATCAAAGGTCGATAATCGTGTTGTATAATTATTTGCTCAGTCCGATGTGCAATATCTCTTGAGATAACTGAAAACATAAAGCTTTTTCGCACGACGTCCAGCGAGAACGCCGTTTCGCCGCGGGCAGCACTGGTTTCACTGATATTATCTTCAGCATCAGATTACAAGTAACTGACGCTATTATTTACACAGCGGAAACCAATACCAAGTACCACGTTAGAACGTACTACAGTGGTGCATAACTCAAGAGCTCTTGACCGCTATAGGCAACATGTTAACAGATTTGATGATACTTACGGTAGTTGGCTCGTCCCCAAAGAAGAAGGGCTTGTCAGCAAGCGTGTCTGAGAGCACCTTAAGATCGGTGCAGCCGAATTGGGACACTTCCTCCGGACTGTGCACGCCCATTCCCTGAGCCTTCACTTTCCTCGCACCCTGCAACCAATCCAACTACCATCTCACTACAAATGGTCACAATATTTTGTTCTGCAATTACGCTCCCTTATCGCGATACTACCTCTAGCTAGCACATTCATAGCACGTTTAGAGCTACAAGCGCAATTTGTGCACTCCGAGCGAATACTATGAATGATTCTGGAGATAGCATAAAATAAACATTGTGATAACGTGTAAGTAGCGAAACTTGGTCGAAGTAAAATTCGGACAAGAATAACATTTTGGACATCGTACTGGTTCCAATAAATATTTTTTAGAATTTGTGTTTTGTTTCAATAAATTTATATTTCATGGTCATCGTTATATTCCATATTATTAATATCTAGATAAAAACCTCGACCAGGACTCAACTAAGAGAGTTTTAAAATGATAGCTGATGAGACTAGCTATACTGGGAAAAATTATGTAATGATAAAACTACAGTATTTACATGAATGCAATCTAGTATAATGTCAGTGATACATGCATAGCTAAATTGAGAAACGTGAACATACGAAACATCGTGCGGTCTCGACAAAATCAATGAAGGTCGAGGGAAGATTATTTTTGCATACAGCATGACCTTAGTTTGCATAATGATGGAAATAATGTGGAATATAATTATGAAAATATGCGAATGAGTTTATATGAAAACGTGAATGCGAATAAATTATTAGAATTGAATCATCAGAAGTGATACATGGTCGTGAAACATGGAATTATCATTCAAGTAATTTCTATCTAACGTCCAAGTTGTATGCTAGGTCACACCGAAATCACACCGATATCACGGCGAACGGCAAGCGAAACTTACCTTGCGTCCGAACGTGAGCTTGAAGAAGAAGTTCAGAATAGCGTTCGGTATACGTGATCCCAGAGCGAGTTGCAAATTGACCTTGTAACCCTTCAGCACCTGATCCAAGTTCTTCGTGCGCCAGCACGCGACAACCCAGACTAGGTGATTCTCGATCATGGATATCATGGCGTGAGAGACGCTTCGTTGCTCGGACGTGAGACCGGCGTCCAAGTCCTTGCCAAATTTCTGGCTCAGCTCTCGCAGGATAATGGTACTATCCGCGATTTCCTCGCCGTTCAGCTCGACGAACGGCAGCTGACCCTTCTTGGAGCGGAATTTCATCTTGTGGTCAACATTCTGGAAACAACCGAATAAGTTAAGTCTTTTACCGAAGCGACAATACCATAACAAAATATGTTATGCTAATAAAATTATGTATTATATTATTAATATATAACATTTATATAATAATAGATTTATTATATCATATTATACATATACATAATATAATACATAATAAAATTACATTACAATAGCAATGACTGAATGTCAAACAGTGTATCTAGAATACTAAAATAATAGTTTTGTGCGAACCAACATAAAATACATATTTTGATACATCATCTTTTACTCGTTTGTTCAGTTTCGCAGTTTCTAGTAAATCGCAATGCAGTTTCTATTAATTCTGCCTTTAGTTTGAACTCGGAACAAAATCGCAGTGAGATTTTCTCTTTCAAGCAATCTAATAAAATCATTTCAGATTAATCAATAATAATCGTTTGTAATTATTATTCTATATTCTACAGTGGAATATTGAAACGCTCTATTGCGATAATAAATAATATTGGACCGAGATGGATAAGTGTACCTACACTCTCGCGAGGCACATGCTCTATTTATAGACGTATGTACCGCGTTAAACGCATAAGTGGGATATCGTGGCTTTCACAGGTGAATCAGCTTATTACATGTAATAACTGCGAACGTTTCATAGCGTTGATATATAGGGTGTCTCTGAATCATTTGACCGACAAAAATTCTTTGGCGTATTTTTTCCTAATGGTAACTTAATTAGGTACAAATATTCATTAATAATATTCAATTAACTTTACATTAAATTTCTATTAAAATAAATAATCTTTCTAGAATTAATTGGAAAAAATCAAGATTTTATATCGAGTATTCATACAATTAAATTTTAATTTGTTTATTTAAATTTACAGATCAGATTAATACTTTCGCACTTTTCATGAGAAAATATTTTCCTAATCTATTAATAAATTCTTATTGGCATAAAATCGATTTTAAATGCGCTACTTTGCTATTATTGGGAAGGAAATTGTAACAGTGTCCGAGAAATTTACTTACTTAATTTCATTATATGATTTAAAATATTAAATATATACATATAAAAATAAAATAAATTCTATCCTAATATTACTGATGTTTTTTGCTAATTAAAGAAAAATTAAATTTAAATGCTATTTTTACAAATATATTATTTTCTACACAATTTCGTCACGACGGTATAATGTAATTAATTACGTAAAGTATCATATTAACAGTAATTACACAAAGTGTCGTTTTATCATCAGATTAGTGTAAGTGCCGTTAAACCTGCTAGGTGAGATCTGCGTAATACTTGGGACAGCGTGCCTTCGCGCAATTTACCACGTGGAGCAAGTACTTTGTGCTCGTAAAATACGGAGAATAACATCTCCAGTCAAAGTCAAGCGAGAAGAATAGATACGTCCCGAAAAGCTCCTTAAAGCTGCTCGCCGGCGTACCGGAATGGAAATGAAACGGAACAGTAAATCGCACGAAAATTCGTAAAGGCACACGAGAGGGAAAATGAAGAAAAGGATTAAGAGGCGTGTGTGAGCACAACGTGAGAAATATGTAAGAGTAACGAAACGAAAGCTCGGAAGAACGAACTCGAAACGAACAAACGAACAAAAGGAGCACGGATGCGCGGGGGAGTCGAGCCGAGATTGTATGAAGAAAAAGAAAAAAAAGAAAAGAAAAAGAAAAGAAAAAGAAAAGAAAGGAGGACCGCAATACTGCGTGAAATTTCAGCTGTTAAAGAAAGCGATGTTATATGCGCTACACGCGGATCTGCATGGGTCCGTCGACACGACGAGGAGGCAACGTAGAGCGGAGCTCGAGAGATCCATTGCTCTAGTTTTAACCCCTTCGGTCGGACACACGGCGGCGAGATCGATGAGGGCTGGTATATTATAGCCGCTCATAATGCGTTTGTCAGCTGTATCGGGGGCCGCCGACCGAATGCTTGCAACGGCAAGCGTGAGTTATCCGAATGAGTCATCCTTTTACCGAGTTTCTCGTTTCCCTTGATTGATCGATAGCTTCTTTTTTTTTTTTAATTTTTGTCGATTCATTCTCGAACGATTATTGAACTATGAACGAAAATGTCGCGACGTGAAATCTTTCAACTCTTCCCGAAGAACGCATAGAAGTCAACCAAAAATCAAAATGACTATTTTGATTCTTAACGTTTAATTAAACAGGAAAATTTTGTAACCAAGAATCATTTTATGATGTTAGAATAATCATTTTGATTTTCTCTGATTTTCTTTTTTTTTTTTAATTGCGAAGGAAATATGCAACACAACACCGAGATTTCATGGCTCTCGTTATTTAGTCAAGCCGATTTTAATCTACAACGTCGATAAAACGAAAAGCAGGGTGGGGTTCGCAGGGCGAACGTTGCTCCGTGGCTCGCCCTCGTTCCGACACATTTGCGTCCCTATTACGTCATGTTTGTTATTTATCCGTTACATGTTTGATTCCGATATGATAACGATAATAACGAAGGCGAGGTCGGGGCGGAGTCGGGTGCACTGAACCATTGCCCTCGATATAAAATGTATCGGCATCCCTATTACGTCATGTTGTTATTTACTGGATTTTCTCGCGTTTTTCGAGAGGACAGCTCGATCGATTCCGGCTGGTAATGACGACGAGGAAAGATAACTTCGCAATATGTACTCTTCTCGATATAATACATCCCTATTATATCATGTTTACGGAAATTTCTTTTATAAAGCCATTATTTAAATTTTTATGGGAGATTTTTTAAACACTATATTATACATATTTCAATATTATTGATTTGTTAATTAAAAAGAATCTTCTAAACTTTTTAACGAGGCTAATGCCTCTATCTGTAACATGCTTATTATATCATGCTTATGGAAATTTCTTTTATTAAAGTCTTACTTAAATTTTTATGGCGTTATCAAAGCGCAATTATTTTAATATTTATGAATTTGTTATTAGAAAGACTCTTCAAAATGTTTTATTAATAAAAAAGATCCACTAATGAAATTAAAGCTCCTATTCCAACTCTTAACGACAATAACAATATCAATATATTATCATTGTAGCTTCTGTTAAGAGTTACTATTTCCATAACATATAACAATATGGATATATTATATGAAGGAGAGTCGAGAAGAGAGTAAGCCTGAAGATCTTATCATTATCTTCGATAATTTTCAAGGAGGGAAGTTTTAGATGAGCCACCCTACATAATCTATTGAAATCTACAAGGGTGAGCCCCCCGAGAGAACACCCTTCCAATCTCCGTCCTCGGTACACCGAAACAACGCGTCCCCATTACGAGCCAAACGCGCGACAAGGAGGTAGGTACTTCGCGGCTTCGATTCCAATTCATGAGAACGTTAACGAGAAGAGTGAATCCACGGGGCGGGGTCGTCTGAAATGTCCGCTCGCTCGCTCGCTCGCTCGCTCGCTCGCGCGGAGGAGCCGAAAGAAGTGGACGAAGGGTGGCTATAGCCGGATCGGTGCAGCCGCAAGGGAGGAGCGCGCGAACACGGAGGACGATGAACTCGCGCGGCGGCAGGCAGCTTCCGTCGCCTGGCAACGTCCCCACTTGGCATCCCCCTCCTCCCACCGGGCACAACGTCGAAACATTGGCGCACATGCACGTACATAAACCCCACTGCATCGTGCACTGCATCGTGTATGTGCTCATACATGCCGCATGTATGCATTGCGCTTGTTGTGTACGATGTTTTCTCTTTCTCTCTCCTACGCTCAATACCCCCCCCCCCCCTCTCTCTCTCTCTCTACTTCTCGCGCTCGCGCGCTCTTTCTTGTCCTCGTCATCGTAGTCACCCTCGTTGATCGTAGTCGTGGCCGCCGTCGTTTGCGCTGATATTGATCGCGCGGGATGTTGCCGTGAACCGCCGCCGACGCCGCCGATGTCGCCGTTTGCGCGAAGTAAGAGCGCGCGTATGCATCGCGCCGAAAAACCAGTCTTGATCGCGGAACAGGGCAACAGTCCCTGCCGAAGGGAGATGAGGAAGAGAGAGAGAGAGAGAGAGAGAGAGAGAGAGAGAGAGAGAGAGAGGGGGGGGGGGGGAGAGAAAGAGGAGAGGGGTCTCTGTCAGCGCTCTGTACGCGAGACACAGATGTATCCAGGGTCAAAGTTCGGAACGTTATCGATTAGACTGGACCGTTTACGTTAGGTCCAGGTAAAGCAAGGGCGTTTGAACTGGCGTAGCATCGATCGCTTTTGATTACATTCTATTTAGAGCAGAAGCTTATGGGTCTCTCTTTAAGCTTTCTCGGAAAATTTGCGGAGCGCGAGGTTGTTCAAATTATGATATTGCAATTGAACGAGTAGTTGTCATTTTTCTTCCGTCGCAATTAACCTTGCACATTTATTTTCAGTACTTTTTTTAGAGCGACACGTATGAATTATTTATGGTTGACCCCGAATTGTAGGTTCTTAAAATGCTTGAAAAATTCTGTGAAAATTCACGCATTTTCTTTAAGGTCTCTACTGAATTATTCTTCTATGTAGACGACGAAAAAAAAAAATTTGAAAAAATTCTAAAAATTATGCAGGTATATGAGAAATAAGAACTGTTGAAAATGGCATGAACATAAATAATCCATGCGTGCTGTTGAAGGATTAAGAGCCCAAGTATCAAATACTCTCTCGAAATCTTTTTATTAATTCATTTTATAATCATAGACTCAAAAAGAAAATTATATAAAAAAATAAGCAGTTAATCATTTTAATCATTTATGATACTAAGAAATAATATACAAATATTTAATATATATTCATATATAAATATAAGAAGTTCCAAAACAGACAATAAATATTTTAGATTATCTATAACATAATAACGATATATAACATATTAAAACGAGTTTAAAACTACGTTATGTATCGTTATTATGTTATAGAAAATATCGAGGCTAACATAATTTTCAAATGGGAAGAATTTCCTGTATACAAAATATTTCCCAAGATTCACGTTATTGAAACTCATGACCTTTTCTGAAATGAGTATTCTCAG